TGGTGTGTGGTGATTAGTGACCGTTAGTCGATGATTATTCGGACATCGTGAGATGCGGTCTGGTGTGAAGTAGGTTTCAGAAAATCAATTTCTTTATCGTGCCAATGTTTCGATTTTTATTGAGATCATCTTCAGGGCCTGGGATTTATAAACATTGTTTAAATTTAACAAATACATGTAGGATGTGGAAAAATCTATACAATGCAAAAAATATTTTTTATATTCAATCAAAGTATTTCTACTCACTCAAAGTGTTTACTGCACAGAAAACAAACACTTTGAGTGAGTAGAAATACTTCGATTGAATATAAAAAATATTTTTTGCATTGTATAAATCACTTTTTTCCATATCCTACATGTATTTATTAAATTTAAACAATGTTTGTAAATCCCAGGCCTTGCAGATGATCTCAATAAAGATAGAAACGTTGGCACGATAAAGATAATGTTTTTCTGAAACCTACATCACACCAGACTGCATCTCATAATTTCCGAATAACCTATTTTTGGTTTGCAAAATATGAATAAACTAAATACATTACAATTTATGGCTGGTACGTTTATTTTGTTCATCAGTGTAGTTCATTCTTGTGAATTCCAACCGGGATTAAAAAATCTGGGATAAGCTGGCGTTTAAAAAGAATTATAGTACAGAACTTTGTTTTACAGAAAAGTTTGAGTCTAAGAATTGAAAAGGATAGTTCTACTCACCAACTGGTGATTTGTAATTCACTCACAAAGTATTTTAGAGTTTTATCTGTAAGAAATCAATTCTCAATCATCACATTGTTAAAATAATAAACTAATAATAGAAATTATGAAATGAACGCAATTCTATAAATTGATTATCAAATCTCAAACAGAAAATTAGCTTTTAACACCAATGATTATTACCATATATAACACTATTTGTTGTAATTCATATATAGTTCAATTATAAGTAACATAAGGATATCTATGAGCTGAATTAATATTACAATCACTGCACATCAACAATTTATATTTTGGAGTGATTTTTTTTTAAAATAAGCATTACAATACGCCATTTTCCAGAATCATGTATTTTTTTCTGTAAATGTTTAATTTTGCATTGTTCTTTTTTAAATAATATTTACATATTTATAATTGATCTATTAATAATATTTACCACATTTATTTAGAAATCGTGAGATGCGGTCTGGTGTGATGTAGGTTTCAGAAAAACATTTTCTTTATCGTGCCAACGTTTCTATCTTTATTGAGATCATCTTCAGGGCCTGGGATTTACAAACATTGTTTACATATTACAATAACAGTTTGGATGTGGAAAAGTGAATTTAAACAATGCAAAATATATTTTATATATTCATTCAAAGGATTTCTACTCACTCAAAATAATATTATTTTATTCTCATTTATTCTTAAATACATTTACTCGTATTTACATACAATTCTCTATGTTGGGGTGAGTGGTGGATTATTCGATATTCCTCCATCGGCCGTTTCACACTATACTTTCACGAAAATAAATACATTCACTGTCAACATGAGAGAACATAAAACTATCAGTATACAGTAAAACCAAGAATCGGAACAGAGGACCCAAACATTCGCTTCCCGGCTTAAGCATAATTCTCATATCGAGTTTTTATATGGAGCCAAGGAGTTGCACCCTTCAATTAGGAAATATATTAATTATTTAAAAAAAAGAATGCAATGTTTTCAGAAATAAAATAGGCAAATGTTTTTAGAAAATGGTTCAGGATTGTAGTTCTCTACTTAATTTTTACCTTTTATTAGGTTTCGTGGTCCGCTTGACCCAATAATATCTTCCACTTAATTAATCTGTATTTAAGGTATTGGTTGAGATTAAAAAGTCAGTGTCACAAGCAGGATTCGAACCCACGATCTTCGGCTAAATACGCCGCTGCTCTACCGCTTGAGCTATCGTGACTTCAATCATCTCAACCCCATCTTTTCGAATTTTTCCTCCTTTTTTTGCCATTTTTACCGTTTACCATAATTTTTATCGTTAAGCAATTATAATTCTTCTGTAAAACACATCTTTCGGGCATACCACCTAAACTTCAATGGTCCTACCATCCTTCGACTCCGATTCGATTATTCCAATCCCATAATTAGTAAACTAGGCCATACGGATTTGTAACATGTTCTAAAGAATGCATAAAATATCACGATCACAGGTGTCAGGGTGTAATATTGTCAATGCAGAATGTTCAGAAGTTCCAAGAGGCTGAAATGTTCGGCATCTATCATTTGACGGCAACTTCTGAGCTTTGTAAATGACCGCATATGAATGTAGTTCCCGCATTGGATTCCAACTGACGGCTCATTACATTGTCTATCGGTGAAAGGGGCCGGACCGGATAATATGAGTGATGCCTTGCTATTGTACACCGTCGTACAGATGTTTATAAACAGAATGACAGGGCCCTTTTCAGCCACAGGATCCCCGCGATTTGCTGTCCCAGTCGACATCCCCCTGTCGACCTGTCACTAAGCCAAAAGGCGAACCCCTTCCGAATCGGTTTCCGACGCCTACTCAGGTAGCGACCGTCAACTTCAACATTTGGCACGCTATGTTCCATAAAAAAAACAGTCGACCATTGATATTCCGTTAGTTTCTTGTGGTTATTATTTATATATTTTTATTCATACAAATACATTACGAATCTTACATAATGATTATTGCCGCATATTGCGAGTTATGCCTATTAAGGCTTCTTTCTCTTTATATAACTTATTCTTCCTTTCTGATTATTTTCATAACACTACTGTTCGACGTAAATACTGTTATCACAGTTTGCATTTTTTAATAATTTTATTTGACATAACAAATTGTAGAAATTTCAAATGCGATGCTCTTTACTATCCCTATAAGTTAATCAGGATAAATACCCATTTGAATTGTTTATATATTTTAATAATACCTATACTTACATACGGAGCTATAGCCTGGGCTGACAAAGCAGAATAGAAGGAGAACTAAAAGGAAAGAACTCACAAAAATACAGAGACTTGCATGCCTCTGCATAACGGGAGCAATGAGAACATGTCCTACAATTAGCATGAAAAAAGTACTGGGATTAATCCCCATACACCACATGGTAATAAGGACAGCGCAGAAAACCATCATTAATTTTACCAAAGAGAAACCTCCAACAGGAATAAAATAAAATGGCTCCGAGAGACGACATGAACAGGATGTTTGAATTTAATCAAAACTTCCGAATAAACCTAGGTACCAAAAAAGAATGGGAACGAGAGGGAAACACCTCTTTTAAGAATGGCGCCATCCTTTGGTATACAGATGGATCTGGAACACAAGAAGGTACAAGTGCAGGAGTATTTGGACCTGGAACCGAATACTCAGAACCCATGGGAACATACACCAGTATCTTCCAAGCTATGATTCATGCAATCGAAAGATGTACCCAACTGTACCTAAGTAAAGGGTACAAAAACAAGAATATAGCTATCATGTCAGATAACCAGGCAGCCATCAAAGCACTAAGCTCAAATATCTTTAGTTCAAGGATGGTGCTGAACTGCAAAACCAAACTAAACATATTAGGCAGAACAAAGTCAGCCTCTGATGGGTCCTAGGATACATGGGAGTAGAAGGAAACGAGAAGGCGGACACCCTTGCAAGGCAAGGAGCCGCTACACCGCTGACAGGACCTGAACTCTTCTGTGGCATAGTAATCCACACTATTAACGAGTATCTCAGACAAAAGGACAAAAAGAAAATGAGAGAACTATGGAATTCACTCATTGGACACAGACAATCCAAGAATCTTCTAACCAATTTTAGAAGGAAAGAAATTACAGAATGTGTCAAGGGAAGCCGGAATAAACTGCGAATCCTAATAGGATTCCTAACAGGACACTGCAAGTTAAATGGACACTTAAAGAAGATTGAAATAATCCAAAATGGCACATGCAGATTCTGCAGGGAGGCAGAAGAGACACCAACACATCTACTAACAAACTGCGGAGCTACACTAGCTCGCAGGAGGAAATGTTTTGGGATATATTATGTGACCATAGAAGAGCTTGAACCACTGAAACCAAGCCTGTTAATCAAGTTTCTTGATGAAGTAGGATTCACCGATGTGCTTTAGGCAGAGCACGGGGTATACAATAGCTTTTAAAGGGCGCAGTATACTATACCCTGAAATTACATCTTCATCTATATAATATAATATTATACATAATATTATAACACAGGGGATAATGTTAAAATCCATTGCTGACGTGGACTGGTTTAACAGGAAATATCTGTATTTTGTTACATATTTTCGAGACATTCTGTAGTTCGTGCGGTAGCTAATTATTAAATAAATAATGACTCGGTTGATGAAGTATGCTAAACTGGTCAGTTCTTGATCAGTGATCTCTTTTTGGTTCGGTATAAACCCGTGATAGAGCTGACGACGCGATAGATTGATTGATCAAGTGCCGATCAGTTTAATAGCATGTGTTCACCGATCCGTAGATCAACTAAGGCACTACACGAGCCGAAGAAATCGATCGTGAACGGTTTCTGTGTCATCGGGGTAAAATGAGATATGATGACGTCGACTTCTACCGGTCTTGAGAGTAGAGCTGTCCTTTAAAAAAAAGGGAGATGCTTTGATTGAATCTCCACGGAGGGACACTGGTAGGAAGTAATTTCACGTTGTGTGAAGGCGGATATTAACGTACAATGAGCCCGGGTCACGTCTCGACGGTAATTCCCATTCATAGCCGATAATGAAGGCAGAAAAAAGTAGGAGAGCGAACACTCCATTTCGGCTTTACAAATTGGCAGTTTTCACTACATAAAGGGCATAAGGAACAGATAGGATCTCTCACCATCGAAGCGATGATACTATAAAATGATTTATGCAACATTTTCAGTCACTTTCCCTAAAACCCCCAAGTTAAGCATCAAAAATAAATAATTAAAAATTGCGAATGAACTGATTGTGATCAAATAATTGTTCCGATATTTTTAGATTTGTATATGGAGCCTGTATACGAAGCGTATTTTGGACATCAAGGCGAAAATATCACGTTGCAGAAGGAAAAGGGAAAGGTGCAATTAACCGGTACGTGCTGGCCGGGCGGGTTGTGCGTCAATTTGAACCACCGATCCCGTTGTTTTTGGCTACCTGATCGACGCGCAGGTTCCCACAACCTGAGTCACTGGCTCCCTGTAATCTAAAGCCGCCGATCATTCTTAATATCGTCATGAGCGAAGAAGTAACTCCATAGTGACACTCCGATGTAGGTAAACCTACGGTAAACAATTTTCACTCGCTATCATTCGAGTTAAGAACTCGAGGCCATCGGCGTTTAGTCGACGATTTGGAGTATCGGTAAGTATGGTAGAGGAAAGTTGGGTTACTAAAGGATTGGGATTACTAGTGTGTGAGGATTGGAATTTGTTGATTTTGATAGCGTGGGAAACAAGGGATGTTGAGATCATGGTCATCAGGATACGATAGGGCACATAGAGAGTAGCATTTGTAATACAACGAAGGGTTTTGGACTGGCAGGATTGGACTCGAGAAGAATTGGATACTATGTCTGGGTCCCTTATTTCCATACAGTAAGTCCATGTCTGTTTGAGTAATGATTTGTAAATTAATAAGCCTTTTACTGTTAAGGGATAGTTTGGGCCGTCTGTCTAAAAGTCGATAAAGAAGTTTGTATCGTCTATTGAGTATTTGTTTTTAAGTCCAAAATTCTACGTACGGCGTTTGTTGATGGTCCTTAGTAGCGAAGTCAGTTTGTCGGGTAGATGAATAAGGTTGAGGCATATAGGAGGAAGGATTGCGAAATACTGTACTGTATACTGGCATTTGTTTTCATCCTCCAGTTTTTTAGCCGAGGTTCAAGGATGTAAGGTGGAACTATAAGGAACGAATGGCAAGGACAGGATAATTGTAAGTGGCCAGGATTACAGCTGTAAATGTGAACAAGTAAGTATTGGGTGATTAGGTACATCAGCAGTATATATTATGTAAATGATTGAACCAAGTACACTACCTTGGGAGATTCCTGCACGGACAGGATGGTGAATCGGAAGAACAGTATGATACCAAAAATAACGGTCGGCAAGGTAGGACTTTAGGGTAAGGTAGTAGGTATAAATGAGGATGCTTTTGAGTTTACAAAGAACCAGCAGCCAGACTTTTTCTATAAACATTCGTTTTCGAGAAAAGTGTTTGCATATTAAGGAAATGAAAAACAATATAATATAATAAAAATAATAAAGCAGCAAAAAAATGAAATTGCTCATTAATTATAACATTAATTATATATTTATGAAAGGTATTGGTCGAGATAAAAAAAAGTCAGTGTCACGAGCGGGATTCGAACCCACGATCTTCGGCTAAATACGCCTTTTTATGGGGTCCTAATAAAGTAGGTTTAATAGGGCTATTACAATCTTTTTCTGATGGGTTAAAGTTATTTTTCAAAGAACAAAGATATCCTTGTTTGTCTAATTTTTTATTTATTATTGTCCTCCAAAACTTATAATAATTTTATCTTTCATGTTGTGGTGTTTGTTTCCAATACCTTTCATAAATATTAATTAGTTGAAAAATGTTAATTGGTCAATCGGACCAGGAACTTTAGTGGATTTAATAATTAAACTGAAGTATCTTCTCGAAAGCTCTCCCTGGCCATTTCATTTGTCACCGAGAATCAAATAGATTACACATTTGAAAATTATCAAAAAGGAGGGAAAATTCAAAAAGGTGAGATTGAGATGGGACGTTAGTGTCAGAGCGGATCGAAGCCACGATGGCTCAAGTGGTAGAGCAGCGGCGTATCTAGCCGAAGATCGTGGGTTCGAATCACGCTCGTGACACTGACATTTTACCTCGACCAGTACCTTTCATAAATATTAATTAATTGAAAATTGTTAATTGGTCAATCGGACCACGAACTGTAATGGATTAATTATATAACTAGAGGCTTTCTCTACCATGTGTAGTATTTAAACTTAGTTCAATAGCAACATAATTTCTTAAAATTACAATCATTATGCTCAGTCACATACTTCGGCCTCTGTCAAAATTTTAAAAATTTGATTCGGTAGTGTACATATTGGACATTCCTAGCTATTCCCTCCCACTGTAACATAAAGTACAAATGCACCAATTCGTGGTCCGCTTGACCAAGTAATATATTACAATTAATTAAGGTTTTTAGTTGAGATAAAAAAGGAGATAGAAAAATGGCAAAAAGGAGGGAAAATTCAAAAAAGGTGGGGTTGAGATGGGAAGTTAGTGTCCGAGTGGTCGAGGTCACGATAGCTCAAGTGGTAGAGCAGCGGCGTATCTAGCCGAAGGTCGTGGGTTCGAATCCCGCTCGTGCCATTGACTTTTTTATCTCAACTAAAAACCTTAATTAATTATAAAGTACAAATGTGGTGGAGGTCTAAATTAATTAGGTGTACGATGATGACAACTGCATCCGATCTGGCTTGTTTATAAGTTCTGCTATTTAAATGTTTCATTATAAGCATAATTTTAGTCGTCTAGCATTTTATTCCATTAACGTTTCCAACTCTTTTTTCACTATTAATTATTTGTTTACTTACAATCTTTATTTGTTTCTTACAATCGCAAACATCATGCTCAGACATATACTTCGGCCTATGTCAAAATCTTTAAAATTTGATTCGGTGTGTATGCATTGGACTACCACAGCGATGAGCTATTTACTCCCTCTATCATCTTTCTGTAACATAAAGTACAAATCTGGAGGTGTAAATTAATGAGGTCTACTTATGAGGAAAACTGCCTCCGATCTGGCTTTACTATTCAAATGTTTGATTATAAGCATAATTTTAGTGATGTAGGAGTCTGGAATACAAACTAGGATATATGTGCCTTTTAAATTATTTTATACTTACTTCCCGTCATTATTTGTTTTTACCAAGTCATACATGTATTGAAACTGAGGTAGCTAAACTGTGAATATAGATTATCAAGGTGTACGTAGTAACAAAAGGTACTTTTTATACTTTCATACTTAAAAGAAGGTTCACAAATAATGAAAAATCGTGAAGGTGGGTGGCTTTCGCCGTATCCGTATGCCCAGCACGACTCGACTTTTTATTGTAGAAATTTACACACGGAGGGAACGAAGCGCATTAGATTCGCCGCGCCGTAAAATGTAGGTGTGCGTTATTTTTTTATTATGTTACCCTCACAGGTAGGCGCCTATTCGGATCGTTAACATCGACTCGGCTACCATATCTAATTTGTATTCCCATCGAAACGTCGGAGTTGCCGTCACTAATACTGTTGTCTTCGCCGGCAGAGAGATTATGATAAAGACCGGTTAAATTGTTCAATTTATCCGCCGTTTGAGGGCGCATAAATAAAAGCTCAGTGGGTGGATTCAATTTTACCTCTTCCCGAGTTCTGATGTCCGTAATTTCTCACCAGATCTTGAATCTTTTAATCACAACATCCGGTAATACGTGTCCTTTTGGTCTATTTGACTTCACTGCTCCCCGGGTTTTGTATTATTGAAACTTGTTCAAAACCTTATGATAAAGGGTTCTCAGAAGAGGACGCGCTCATCGGTCATAACGTCAAATAAATGAAACGAAAGCTTGTTTGACACCCGGAGCCGTCAAAGGATTTCCATGATGGATCGCCTTTCGCATCTGCATCGCTGCACTCCCAGATCTAGAATACAATAGATCAAAAGACACTCACGACCTATTTTTCACCGATTCTGGTTTCCAACAGCGATTACCGAGTGGGTATTTAACCATAAGGAAAGATATTGCTCATTTCATAGATATTACATGCGTTCCGAGATTGGAATTGCGAGTCTCGAGTAAATGGTGCGAAATAGTGCGTGAGCCTAGAAAAAAAAAACTATTAGGCCTTTTCCTTTTAAATATGTAACACAGAGAACAAGTAGGCTTTCAAAGGACACTTTTGCGTGAGAACAGTTCCTATCCCAGGCAAGAAATAGACTCAAGTGAAATTGTTAAACAAGGAAAGTGGTAAACTCGACTTGGTATAACACACAATTTTTCCATACCAGTGGAGGTCCGGTGAATGTCATACATAGTGCTAAGCTGGAGGATCTTAATTTTTAACGCTCAATGAAATCTCTAAATCAGCTAGGAATCGTCGGGGTTTAAAATTCAATTAATCAATACAAGCTAAGAGGGATCGTAATGGTGTCATAACAAGGGGTTCCTTTATTGCAAGTATAAAACCCCCCTGGTCCTTTGGGGAATCGTTATTTAAGGGGATTACGCTATGTCGGGACCGAAATCAGAATGATCATGCACGAGGTCCCTAGAGAAGGGTTGAATCATGACATGATTATTTAATTGATCCAAGCAATTTCTGGTACCACTCATATCAATTGCTTCGGTGATTAATCCACTTTAGCCCAACAATAACGACGGACTGACAAGAGAAATGGATAAGCGCTGCCTTAAATTATCGCCGTTAAATCATGTCCGAGACTAGAAACGAGTTAAACGACTATTTCCCTTAGGGTTCTTACCATTACTATTGAACACGAAACAGTTTGCCATCTTTCAGTTACCCTAGTTTAGCTTACTGTTCTCTTCGTAAAAGTCCCAGTTTATAAAACTGAAGCTTGGTTGTTTCCGATCGTTTTGGTCCGGCATTCGCGCTTCAGGATTTCACCATCTTTGACGTCCAAATGACTTAATAATTTATCGTTTAATTGCAAATAATGACGTACAGTTTGTATTTTCGTAAACTATTTCCATGTAAATTAATATTCATTTGTCTTAAAATAAATAAAAATTAATATAATAAATAAAAATTATATAGCCTCAATTATAACATGAAAGTTGTTCCCCTTAATCTGCATAATTTGACAGGTAAATTCATTTTTCACGAAAGATATAAATTTACATGAAAATTAAAGGGGAGTTACAACATGAACTTTTTTTTTTATAAGGGACAATATATAAAGAATAACGTCTGACATACCACAGCAGCGAGGATGGGCAGACCACAATGAAACGACCAAATTACGTTTTTTTTTTAAATTTGGTCGGCCGTATTGTTTTTAATTTTATTATGGTACTTTTACATCAAGATGTCGGCCAGGGGAGGAAGAAGGCTGTTTTTTTACATATTTCTCGACGTACATTTTATCTCTCTAGGAGTTAGTTTCTGATCGACAAAATACAGGAAAGTCCGATAGTGAAAGTCAAAAATTGATGTTAAGCTTTAAAACTAATTTATCAGGTGAAATTCGATATTTTGAAAATCTAATATTGGAATATCATAAAAATTGATATTTTATAAAATTCACAAAAAAGAATTTAAATATTACATGAATTGCGTACATT